CCCTCTAGATCTTCTAGAATCTTCCAGTGCCTTTTTATGCATTTGGTCATTTGATTTGTTACATAGTCATATGTCAGTATACAGTTTACACGGTTCATAGGTCTCCTTACTGTTTTATTTAGGAGATCACTGCACCTCATCCTGGTGGCCTTAGCACGACTATTTTCCATGGCCTCATCTGGATAACCCCTATCTTTTAGTTGGGCTTTCAGCATTTGCGATTCCTGCTCACAGTCCTCTCACATGGTGCAATTTCTTTTTATTCTCAAAAATAAAATGGCCACTTGGATTTTGTCTCTCCATTTATAATCTGCATCATCGAAGTTGAACATGATGCATCTTGGGTAGGGCTAGAAGCCCCTGGTACGGGCCCAGTTCTCTTCATGGGAGCCTTGACATCAAGTCTTGTAGTCTCCCAGTCCAAACATGGCAGGTTAGCTGGGGGACTGGGTTTCGCAGTAGGGTATTCTTGAGTAAGTCCAAGTTTACCCATTAGTTGGAGAGAATCTCTGGGAGCCAGGAGCCTTTCAGCCACTCCATCCAGTCCTTAGAATCAGCCCATCATTACTTCCCCTTCTCTTCCTCTCCACTCTCCTCCCCCTTACAAACAGTTACTTCCTCTTCAACAGTGCCTCCTCCTCCTCCTCTTTCTGGAGATTCAGCTGCTTTCCCATCTTTAGGAACCCTGGGCTCTACTTGCCTACTGAAGCTGTACCATCTTCCTTCAGGGAGTGACCAGATGAGAGGTACCAAACAAAATCCTCTAGTAGGCTAGTGTTCAAAGGGTCAACCCTTTGCCATGGGCCAAAAGACCTTTCTTCAAACAATCTTCCTTTGGGGTAAGTTTTCAAAAGTTGCTTTTCTTGTCTGGAAACTTCTTTTCTTGCTGTGGATCACCTCTTCCTCTCTCCCAGAGGTCAACGAAATAAGTTGTCTGATGAGTTTTACTAAATACACTCTTCTCAAAAAAAAAGGGCCAAGAAAAGAAGGAGTTTTGAAATGGTGATTATATCTGTGCGATCATTATCATATTGAGCACAATTATCATTATTATTGCTCCGTGTCCCCAGGGGGTAAAGGGAGGCATTGGAAGGTATATGAAGATGCCATGTAAACATCCTCCAGAAGATTAAGACATGACGCTGGACAGGCACACAGCTCTGTTGGTGTGGTCACTGATACATTAAAATCTGCATTTCTACTGCATTTCAGATTATCCACATCATGCTGTGCTCTTGAGAGGTGCCAACGTGAGGATGTGGAGACAAAGAAATCAGGGCTCTCAAGGAAGATTTCAAATAATGGCATTTCTAATGTCCTTATTAATGCAGATGCCTCGGGCAGTGTGCAAGGGCACTGTTTCTAAATTCTGTATCATTCAACATATTTCTGTTCTTTACAAGTATTATCAGTCTGGAGATTTCAGTATCGCTGGCATTGTCTCTCAGGTCTACACATTTTCTGATCCAATTGTGTTCAGCAACCATCCCTCCACAAAGGTGATTAATGAACTGATGTAAGTTAGTGCATTCTTTTTCTACAAGATAAATATGCTACATTTCAGTCAAATGATTCTCAAGGGGGCTTAGCATAGTCTATAATAGGACATTGAATTTGTTGGGATATCCTAAACTTCCAGAGTGGCAAATACCAGCATTTTAGGTAATGTGGAAGTCATCACTCATTTCTGCTGTCAACTGAATTGGTGAATGAATGACATCTCTTTGCTTCTTAGCAAGAAGTGTCCAGTGCTGTCTAACGCTAGATGTCAGACAGATGACAATCACCTCCAAGAGTTGTCCTTAATTTCTACTGAAGCCTATGGAACATCACTCTGGCTATGACTAACTCTTTCTCCTGATTTTAATGAGAGCCAAATGTGGGCATCTTCGTCCATATTAGACACACTATTTGGCTGGTGGTTAGAGATCTTCCACATGGTGGATGTCTGAATATACCCATTAGTGGGAAATTGCTAAAGCAAGGGGGACATCTTCATACAATCCAGAAAATCATGGAAAGAGTAATTTTGCATTTCTTGAAACTTAGGCAATTAGCCAAGTTTAATACATTTCTTAAATTATACTTTCTTTCTTTCTTTCTTTCTTTCTTTCTTTCTTTCTTTCTTTCTTTCTTTATCTATCTATCTATCTATCTATCTATCTATCTATCTATCTATCTATCTATCTATCTATCTATCTATCTATCTATCTATCTATCTATCTATCTATCTATCTATCTATCTATTTATTTATTTAAATTATATGCCACACACTCTACCCAAAGGTCTCTGGGAGGCTTACAATTTGAACTGAAGCTTAACAACTCTTCTGTTCTGAATCAGAGGTACACAGCATTATCATGTCTCCTGTTGCAGGGTACTGTTGCAGTCATATCAACATATCCTGGCTTTGGAATTTGCTGTTTCGGAGATTAATGCAAATCCCCAGATCCTACCCAACATCACCCTGGGCTTCAACATCTACAACAGCCACTTCAGCGTGAGCGGGACCTACCTTGCTTCTATGGAGCTTCTCTCTTCTCAGAGAAGATCGATCCCAAACTACAAGTGCGGCTTTGAGATAAATCCAATAGCAGCCATTGGGGGACCTGACATATGCGTGCACATGACCCACATTCTGAGCCTCTACAAATTTCCCCAGGTAGGATATATGGATGGAGCATAGCACATTGCATTGCAATTCATTCTTGTACCTGTTTTGATCCTTTCCCCTATGCATTCTGTGTGACTGGGAGGTGGAATATTGTTTCATTCATATTAAGAGGCAGATGATGGTTAAAGACTTGACAGCTGCTTCTCCCTGACTACTATCCTGTGTCTTTAAAAATTCCACAGGTAGGGCATGTAGATGGGGTTCTGCATGCATCATATACAGTAGCCATTCATTCGTGTGTGTGTGTGTGTGTGTGTGTGTGTGTGTGTGTGTGTGTGTGTGTGTGTGTGTGTGTGCGTGTGCGTGTGCGTGTGCGTGTGCGTGTACGCGCGCATATACTGTATCTATTTGAGCCCTTTGTGTTTTCTGCTTCTGATTTTGTGACTCAGTGATGGACAAATGATGTCACTGGAATTAAGTGTGCAACGATGATTTAAAAAATTCTGCTTGCGTACTTATTGAGTTCCAAACTTCAGAATAAAATAACTCACGTGGGCCACATGATTCTTCTGTGCATTATCACAGCTACAGACAGCCATGGGAGTTGTGCAATGGCTTCTTATTTAGTGTTGTAAAATGGGTTAGTCTGTGCAACCATTTAAGTTGAAAACAAAATAAAAATATGTCAAAAAAGAAGAAGGCCATTATATCAAATATAAGACAAGGAGACATAACATGGCAAATATTTATATATGACATCAAAGTATAGCTATCTAAACACAGAGGTTGTTTGGTCTTCTTTATGAGAGGTGATTTACACCTTCCTAAGTTTCAGACCATCCGGTTGGTCTGCTGCTGGGTGTTGAACAGGTCGAGGGGGCACATCTTCATTCCACAACTGGATACATGGCCAAGAACATAAGCAACCTGGTACTAACAAGTTCATATTAACCCATGGAAGGTTAAAAAGTGGGAACAAACAAAGTTGTACCCACAGTATCCAAGATTTCTTAATCTTGCCTCTTTGTTTCCTGTAGCTCACTTATGGCTCTGCTCCACTAATGGACAACCCAAGCCAAACCAAATTTCTCCAGCAAATGTTTCCCAACGGGGCTCTGCAAGACAGCAGCATTCTCCAGTTGCTGCTGCATTTCAGGTGGACGTGGATTGGGGTTCTTTGTGCAAATGATATTTACGGAGAAGCGTTGGTACACGATGTACTCCCTGGGTGGTCCCAGCATGGTATTTGTTTTGAGTTCATAAGAAGATTCCCAGCAGTGACTTTTTCTGATGGGTTTGAAAGTGCGATAGAGAAAGAATCTGAACTATACAATCTTGTCATGCAAAGCAGAGCCAACGTCATGGTCTCATTCGGTGAAATCCACACAATGATACTGTTGACATTGATGCACGGGTTTTCTGATGTGGAGGACACAAAAAGGAAAGCAAATGTCTGGATTCTTTCAGCCCAAATGGATTATGCATCCCTTTCTTTTCATAAGGATTGCAGCATTGATTTTCTCCATGGAGCAATCTCCGTAGCCGCTCACTCAGTGGAGGTGCCCGGATTCCGGGAATTTCTTCAGACCCGAAATCCTGGAAAAGAGGATGGCTTCTTCAGGTCCTTTTGGGAGCATGCCTTTGACTGCCAGTTCCCTAGTGCCGATACTGATAGCCAATCTGAGGTACCCTGCACTGGGGAGGAGAAATTGGAGGCTCTTCCTGCCTCTGCTTTTGAAATGGCCATGTCTGCTCAGAGCTACAGTATGTACAATGCTGCCTATGTTGTGGCACACACTTTGACATCAAGGTACTCTCCCAGATCCCAGAAGAGAATCACCGTGGATGGAGGGAGTGGAAAGCTTCTGAATCAAGAGTCATGGCAGGTAACAGTTCTTGAGCATAGAAATGCTAAGGAATACTCCATTTTGGCCGCAATCTGATAGCCCAGATGATCTAAAAAGCTGCTCCTGTTGAGAGGATGATACTAGAGAATTTAAGCCCTGAATCTGTCATAGACTAGTTTTGACTCAAGCCACTGATGCTTCTGTTGACTTTCAGGGCACAGAGGACTTGTAAAGACATCTCATATTTTTATTATACTTTTATATGCATGCTGCTGCTCTGCCAATGGAATGGTTGTCGTAGCCAATGGATTGGACCCTGAGGAGAGGACATGGAGTCCAGTTCTTTGCATGAATGTACTCAGAAAGGTCATAAATGTGACAACGCAACCCCAAATCTGCTGATCTTGGAAAGGAAGGGGGAATAATGGGAAGGGAAATAAATTCCACCTTAATGGAAATAGTTTGACATCTTTTGCAGTAGGCAGGATTCTGTAGTTCTTTCCCATCTCAAAGACCTGCCCCCACCATTACAAGGACTCTGGGAAAAGTCATCCAAACTGGTTGCTATGGGTTTTTCAGGCTCTTTGGCCGTGTTCTGAAGGTTGTTCTTCCTGACATTTTGCCAGTCTCTGTGGCCGGCATCTTCAGAGGACAGGAGTCTGTCTGTGCTCTGTCAGAATGCACAGACAGCGTTCTGACTCCAGTCCTCTGAAGATGCCGACCACAGAGACTGGCTCAACGTCAGGAAGAATAACCTTCAGAACATGGCCAAAGAGCCCAAGAAACCCACAGCAACCAGCAGATCCCAGCCGTGAAAGCCTTTGACAATACAGTCGTCCAAACTGTTTGTTGAAATGGCGTCACACAGCATCTGTTTCCCCACCTCCTTCATTCTTGAGTTTTGTCTTTATGAGACCCGAAGCCTCCAGGAAACACCTCCAGGAAACACCTTTACAGTGCAATGTGCTAATGAACAACATGAATTATATTCCTGCAATGGACATTAGCCAAAGGCAAGCTAAAATGCTAGCCAGATATTCAAATCTTTAATACTCACGTGTGAGATGCTGATGTTCATCCCTTTGCCTCTTTTTCCAACCTCTTCATTAATTACTGTCCTTTTTTGACATCTTATTTAGCTCCACTACTTTCTTAGAAGCGTCTCATTCAACAACAGTGCCGGAGAAAGGATTTCCTTTAACTCAGATGGTGAACTGATAGCTGGGTTGGATATTATCAACTGGGTCACATTCCCAAACCGGTCCTTTCACAGAATCCGAGTTGGAAGAATAGACCCTACGGCGCCCCCAGACAAAGCGTTCTCTATTTCAGACCATTCAATCATATGGCCCAGGGACTTTAACCAGGTAGTGCCTGTGTGTATGTGTCTCCATTCATTTGACCAATACCTAAATGGTTTCACTATTCAAACCTCCTTCGTAGAAACCCACTCTGGCCAAGGACTCTGTTGCTCCAAGAACTTTGCCAAATGTCCGTGGAAGGGCGTTGAATTTTGCATTCCCCAATCATTTTATACTGAACAGTTTCTCCTTCCATACAAGTGAATGAAGAAATTTCTTCATTCACTTAAAGAGGGGGAAAATATTTACTTGAATGCACCTCAATTTGGCTTTACTGATGCAAAAGCACACATAGGAACCATGTTAGTGTTCCCAAGCAGATTTAGAACTAGGACCAGTAAAACCATGATCCTGCCCCTATTAGTTTGGAATCTCATGTCTCAAGTCAATTTTTTATGATGGCTTTTGGCTTGATAAATATAGCCCCTAACTTGAAATGTTTTCACACCGCAGCTTGAAGTATATTGATTTTTTAAAAAAACCACTTGGCAGGGTTAAATTTGATGTTCTCACTTATGTTTGGTTTTTTTGCCAGCAGTTGAAAGTAACACAATCACTTGTGGCTTTGGTTAAAACCAAAAATAAATTTAATATTTATAAACATATGTAAAATATACCATAACTCATAGTGCTTAGCCATTTGGTATTTGTTCTACATATTGGTGACTTAAAGACAGACATATTTTGCTAATAAATAACTAACTCTCTTATCATAACACTATTACATATGGAAACCCTATTTGGCCCTATAAAATCTGGTCAGTTTATTCTATAATCTTGTCCTCTCTATCTCAAAACCTATTACATATGTTTAAAACTATTAGATAAAGCAATATTTGGCCAATGTCCCTTTCATATGGGCTGGAGACTTTAAAAAATGCTGACATTTCAATAGCCCAGGACATACCAAGGGAAGAGGTTGGAGATATAAATTGTTGGGATTGCAACTTCTAGAATCTATCGTATTTTTTGCACCATAAGATGCACTTTCCCCCCGCAAAACAGGGGGGTGGAAAGTCTGTGCGTCTTATGGAGCGAAGAAAACAGATTATATTTTCCTGTTTTCCTCTCCTAAAAATTGGTGCGTCTTATGGAAAGGTGCGTCTTATGGAGCGAAAAATACGGTACTTGCCAACATGGAGAGTAGCAGGCTTACAGGCAGATTCTGAAAGCTGAAAGCAAGAATTAAAATTTTTTTAAAGCTCTGCCAATTAGCTCTTGAACCAGAAGAAATCCTGGTAGACTATGCCAACCAGTAAATTATAGGCTCTCTGTCATGGTAAGACTTGCACGCGTTCCCCCTACCAACAAATGTTAGCATATTTTTCTTCTTTTCTAATGTGCAGACACTCCCCCTTTCCTTATGTAATGAGGAATGCCATCCAGGTTATAGGAAGGCCAAGATGGAAGGGAAGCCATTTTGCTGCTACGATTGCCTTCCATGTCCTGAAGGGATAATTTCAAATCAGACAGGTAAGAGATGTTGAGGGATGTTCTGTCCAACAACAAAACATGGGGGGTGGTTCTTTTCACTTCCTTTGATTGCTCTTATTTTAACAGATTGAACATCTCTGAGTAAGGCTTCTTTGAAATCAAGAATGGGCAATGTTTCCCCATGAGGGTTTGTGAGTCGGTCAACTCTTCCCCTGCCCTTTTGTTTATCAGCACAGAAAAGGGGAATTGTAGTGCGTTGAATTGCCAGGAGCCACAAAGCACTGTTTAAGGCACCCACAGATCTTTGTGTGCTGTTCAACACCCACAAATTCTTATATTCTCCAAGATGGAATTGAACTTTCTAGTCAATTTCTATTTGAGTTTTTTTTAATTTCATCCCCCCCTTCAGCTTATTTTCCTTTTTACTGCTTTCTTTAGTTTTTGATTTCCTTTGGGGTAGAAATCTGTCCCCTGCATCCACCAAGGTTGACCATTCCTCTTCTAGATGCAGTTCACTCTAGAATGCTGTATGGTGTCATTACAAATTTCATATCTCTCCATCACAATGATGTGACATTGAGGATTAGATAGTACAAACTACAGAAACAGAAAGACACATACAAGTCAGAAAAATTGGGTTTTCTTTTCCAGATATGGAAGAGTGCGTTGAGTGTCCAAAAAGCCAATATCCAAATCATAACCAGGATTCGTGCATTCAAAAAGAGACCACTTTCCTGTCTTATGAAGAACCCATGGGAACCACCCTGGCCATTGTTGTGATCACTTTTTCTTTCCTCACAGCTTTGGTACTTGCTCTCTTCATCAAGCACCAGGAGACTCCCATAGTCAAAGCCAACAACCGGAGCCTCACCTACACTCTCCTCATCTCCCTCCTGCTAGCCTTCCTTTGTGTTTTACTCTTCCTTGGGCAACCAAATAAGCTGACCTGTCTTCTTCAGCAGCCTGCTTTTGGCCTCATCTTCTCAGTGGCCATTTCCTGTGTGTTGGCCAAAACCATCACGGTGGTTCTCGCTTTCATGGCTACAAAGCCTGGGTCCCAGATCAGGAAATGGGTGTGGAAAAGAATAGCCAGCTCCATTGTTCTTTCTTGTTCCCTCATTCAAGCTGTGATTTGTGTTGTGTGGCTGGCAACCTCTCCCCCTTTCCCAGATATTGACATGTACTCAATGCCTGAGGAGGTGGTACAGGAGTGTAACGAGGGGTCGTCCACCATGTTTTACTGTGTCCTGGGCTTTCTGGGTTTCCAAGCCATTGTCAGCTTCAGTGTGGCCTTCCTAGCTAGGAAGTTACCAGACAGTTTTAATGAAGCCAAGTTTATCACCTTCAGCATGTTAATGTTCTGCAGCGTTTGGGTGTCCTTTGTTCCCACCTACTTGAGCAGCAAGGGAAAGTCCATGATGGTTGTGGAGAGTTTCTCCATCTTGGCCTCCAGTGCTGGGCTGCTGGCTTGCATCTTTTTCCCCAAGTGCTTTATTATTGTTATGAGGCCTGAGTTGAACTGCAGACAGCAGCTAATGAAAAGGAAGCATTAACAAACGAAACACTGCCTTCTGTAACACAACGCCTTCTCCTCTGAGGAAGAGCTGATGGCATCTGGATAGAATGTCGTCTTTGATGTCTATTGTTATTTTATTGTTTATTTATGATGTCTTGAACTTTTATTACAAGCCAGTTTGAATTTGTTTTCCTAAATATACTTGGCATATTTTACTAAATAAATATAAAATTGCAGGTCTGTGTTTGTCTCCCGAAGTTAATCATTAGAAAGTCTTTTTGTTATCTGTTGGACAGAATTTTACAAAGTAGTTCTATGGTTTTCCATGAGGTTCTCTTATGTCAAACGTAATTGTGTACATACATAATAGTCACCTAACCTAACATTTTAGATTAGATGTGATGGAAACTGTAGATGTATCTAGGGACGTATTTTCTGGTGCCCATGTAAACATGAAAATATTCTTGAAGTCATCACCTGCATCACAACACCATCAAAATATTAAAGCCCCATATGTCTTAGAACCCACATGTCTACTCCACTGTCCTGCCGATGTCCTTTAACAGAGCAGTGACAACAGCTTATTATTATTATTATTAGCTGAAATTAGTCCCTTCCAAAAAACAGTTGTTACTGCTGCCTTTATTATTATTAGAAAAAGAACACAGATATCGGGAAGACAGAACTGACAAAGTGAAATATTTTCTTGATGGCAACTGAGGTCTTCCCTTGGGCTTTCAAATACTCTGGTTTTGAATCTCTTGTAATACTTCATGCTATAAACAAACTTTGCAAACCCATTTTCTCTGGATGTGTTTTTTTAAAGGCTGATCCTTGCTTTGGTTGTCTGGAAATTCTTTCTTCTTGCTGTGGGTCACCTCCTCCTATCTCCCTGAGGTGGACCAGATAAATTGTCTGATGACCTGTGGTAAGCTTTTTCTATTTGAAAAGCTGACCAAGGAATGAGCACTTCTGAACCCATAATTATATCTCTGTTATAATTATCATATCGAGCATGATTACCCTTTCTATTTTTCTGCATCCCAGAGGAGTCAAAGTAATGGCTAGCAAATACATCAGCCAAGACCAAAAGATGCCTTTAATGTCCTCCATGGCATAGAGATGTGATGCTAAAGACACACCTGTCAGTTGGATCAGCAAAACACTATAGTCTGCTTTTCCAGCTTCAGTTTAGCTTCAGTTTAGGCAAAGGGAGGCATGCCACCCTGTGTTAATGAGGAGTGCCATTATGTTTACATTATAAACAACCTTATGTCACATTCAGAATGGGCCATGACACATTCTCAAGGTGGCTGGATTTTTTTGAAGAAAAAAAAAAGACCAATAACGTACATAGGCTCATTAACCAGCTCCATAGAAGGATGTCTGTTGAACTCAAATAAAGTGGAAAACCTAATGATTTGCAAAACAATGCCAGAAATACTAAGGTCTCCAGAGTGATAATACTTGTGAAGGATAGGGAAAGGTTGTGGTCAAGGTGTTTACATTATGGGCACTGCAGTTTAACATACTAATGCAGGCCCAGCATGTACCAGGTTTAGAAAATAGAATAGCTGATGCATTGTAGCACTAACAGATCAAGCTGTTCAGGGAGCTAGACCCCGGAGCCAAGGAGTTCCTGGAAGTTCTGCCCCCGGGGGTCTCGAAAATTGGCATGAAGATGCAGCAAGAGCGATAGGCTTGGCTCTGACATGGAGGACATGGAAGGGGTACTCGGCCATGAGTATAGAATATAGAGTTCCAGGAATTTAGGAAAATGGTCAACCTGGAACCGGCCTGGCAACAATTTATCATGCATTTAAATAGGTAAAGGTAAAGGTCCCCCTTGACAATTTTTGTCCAGTCGTGTTCGACTCTAGGGGGTGGTGCTCATCCCCGTTTCCAAGCCATAGAGCCAGCGTTTTGTCCGAAGACAATCTTCCATGGTCACATGGCCAGTGCAACTTAGACACGGAACGCTGTTACCTTCCCACCGAGGTGGTCCCTATTTATCTACTTGCATTTGCATGCTTTCAAACCGCTAGGTTGGCGGGAGCTGGGACAAGCGACGGGCGCTCACTCCGTCGCGTGGATTCGATCTTATGACTGCTTGGTCTTCTGACCCTGCAGCACAGGCTTCTGCGGTTTAGCCCACAGCGCCACCACGTCCCACCTGAAACTATACAAGGCAGGTTATCAGCATTGGCGTTTTACGCCAAGGTTAATGGCTATTGAGATTACTCAACGGATTACCATATTAAAAAGATGATCTAAGGATGGTCCAAAGAGAGGGGTAGAGTCCAGGATACCAGGGCCCCTATATTGCCTGTGTTGTTAGAGCGCATTTGCAGGCAATGGGAGTTCTTGTGTAGGGACAACTACGAAATGATCCTACTGAAAGCGGCATCACTAATGGCATTCTTTCGGGCCCTCAGGATTAGCGAGCTAGTTGCATCCGGAAAGAACGACAAGTCTAGGTTAGCTCTGCAATGGCAGGACATTAGGGTCGGGAAGGTGCAAATTTTTATTTGGCGATCCAAGGCCGATCAGCTAGGCAAAGGTGGCCAACTCACGCTAGTGCAGCGCAGCATGAATAGCATCTGCCCTGTGAAAGCCACTATGGCATATGGCATGCAGGGGTGTTGACCGTGAGGTCTGTAGAGCAGTCTGCAGTGGCCTTGGATCAGTGATAGGTCACCTCACCGATCCGATTGGATAGGCCTGAGTTTTTTCAGAATGATGGAGTCCATCTGCCCGATTTGGGTTTAGATGTCTTCTTGGAAGACATCAACGGGGGCCCTGCTTGTTGAGCTTGATCGGCTTGATGGCAGGCATGGGACTTAGTGTCACGGTTTTGGCGACAGTAAAATACACAGAGTTATTGAAGATACTTTACCAGTTCTTCTTGTGTTGCAAGACGGTTGTATTTACAAGTATTTACAGTTATTTACAGGCAGGCATCTCAACAGCACGGCAGGAACACTTTATACAATCTGGCAGCATGCATGGCAGCAAGTGATAGTGGAGGAAGAGAAAGAAGCAAAGACACAGTCCACTTATATACATGTACATGGCACATTCAGTCCAATCAGAATACAGATGACTTCATTCTTTTGCACCTGGTCTTCTCCTGGTTTCAAGTCATTGCATCAGCTCCAGAGTGATTCAGCATTCTCACATCTGTGCACAATGGCAGCTTGTTAATGAAACACATATACAGGTTCAGGCCTATAAAATTTCTATATTCTGACACTTAGCCCGGCTAGTCCTTATGCTGTGGCGGGTAGTG